AATTTAATTATTAATTTCCAAAATAGTAAATAAATAAATTACAATATTAATAAATATTTATAAATAAAAACATTTATATTTGCCTCTTTCACTACATGTTCTGCATGGCAGGGTACGTGCGTAAAATTATCATCCAAGAATTATATATATTTGTTTTAGTTTGAATGAGCTCCTTATTGTACTGAAGAGATGATGATTTGCATCCCACATCACTTAAGAGGCTCATTAGATGTCTGGATAGTGGTGGATGGAGAGCAGACGCTTCCAGGTCGTCCTCAGTTGCAGGACCAAAACCTTCACAGCAGCCACCGTCTACACCGTTATACATTCCACAGTCGTTTCAGATGACATCGCAACCATTTCATATGCCACTGCAGCCAGGTCAGACGCCACCACTTTCATACCAAATGTTGCCACTGCCGCAAAGTTATATGACCCCTCCTAGCGGATATTATAGTTCCTGTATGAGATTGTATACCCATACTGCTATTGTATAGCTAAAATCAACACAATAATAGCTATATGAGAGCTTGCTTTTACCATGGGCATGATGGCTTGGCAGATATTGTCGGAGTCTAAGTTGGGTTGGTTGATCCCTCCTGCACAGTATGTATGAGGACCGTTGTATATCATTAGTTCTCATATATTTTTTTTCCTCTTCCTCTTCGATACGTGAACCATCCAATAGCATCTATTATCACGTTAGACACAGTGGCAAACATACTTTTCGGTGGTAGAGCTGTCGACTCTGGACTGAACAAAATTACGAAAGTTGTAATTCTTAATTATCATCATCGCTTCTTATTTGCATGAAAACTCTATTCCTTTATATAACTTACCATCATTGACTGATGAATTAAATCTGTAGTCACCGACATTAGGTATATCTGTAAATTTTGGCTCGTACATTTCACCATAATCAGCTTCATACATGTGTGCTTGAGGTTCATTGTGTATCGTATTTGTGGGAACTGCATCTACATCATCATCATCGGAGTCTATGTTGAACTGCGGTGATTCTGGCTGAACGAATAGTCCGGTCTCAGCACCTGGCTCATGAAAAGGTTCTTCTGGTGGAGATAAGGGTTCCTCCACAATGTCGATATTTAGGTTGAACAAGCTGGTAGTTACATGCCTTTCCCTTGAACTTGAAGGAATCTCGACATTGAGGTCGAATAAGCACGCAGTTGAATGCCTCCCCTTGGAGCTTGAAGGCATCGTGTTAAATGGGTACTACATAGATTGTTACGTTGAGGGCATCTCCATATTCAGGTAAAACAAATTGGCAGATGAATGTTTTCCCCTTGAACTGGACGCGATGTTGCTATACAGATTGTTTATGGAGCCACCTTAGTACAGATCGTAAGAAATTGCTGATGAATGTCACCCCATTGAACTTGATGGGATGACACCATGATGTGGATTTCCAATTAATGAGTTAAAATCATTATATATTACTTGAGTTGGGTTATCAACTTGATCAGCTTGTTGAGCCAGCCTATAGTGGGAGCATAATTACATACCACGAATAGCACACACTTCAACAAATTTCACATACATCTCTGTATCGACTTTTTAATATTGATTTTGAGAATCAACCATCATAGCAACATCGTCATCGTTGGATAGTTTGAACGATGTATAAGTTAACAGAAATACTGCGGTTGGAAATCTATACTGAAGTGAGAACATTCTTCTAGTACTTCCAACATGAATCTTCCTTGAAATTTTCATTATCAGCTCCTCAAGAGTTATGTTTCTCTTGAAGGATATTTTGGCAGAATGATTTGATACAAAAACGAAGATGGTTTCATCTTCCTAAACTTCTCCATAATAGTAAACAATAGTTAAAAGTAATAGCTGAAATACGCCTAATTAAATAAATAATATATGAATTAAAATATAAACTAATCAAAAAAAATTTAAAAATTTCACACTAATTTTATATTGTTACCTTATCGGCAAAAATGTCTCGAGGTATGATCTCACTTTCCAATTTTACAACTGCAAAAAATAATACAAAATAATTAGTACAATAAAAATTTTCAAATAATCATATATAAAATAAATATACTAAAATTATTTTACCTTACAACAAAAATCGAAGGAAATAGTGAAGCAAAAATAGAATGAATTGATGTGGTGATGTTTGTATAGAAGGGGTGTTATTTATAGGGGAGGGGAGAGTTTAAAGGCCGAGCGTTTCAGGTGGAACCAATAATGGAAGGCGCAGATGGTGATCTGTTCCTAACTGGCGAGTGTCAGAAACCCCAAAAAGGTACGGATAGTTATATACGCCTGTCATTACATGGCGCGAACTCGGATAAGGCACGGATTACCATCCACGCCTTTTATGACGTGGCTTCAACTCGGACAAAACCCCAAAAAGGCACGGATAATAATCTATGCCTTGTCAGAAAGGGTGCTAGATCGGTAAAATTAGGAGAAATGGTGTTTGACAGGTAATTATTACCTGTCAGACGGTAAAATACCCCCAAATGAGAGATCAACGTGGATAAAAGATGTCAAATCAATTATCTTAACATTTCACATCATGATCATGTTAATGGTTGAGTTATCATTTTACTACAAAATAGTTAATTGAGTAAATTAACTATGTCACGATAGTTCACTTTCGTTTCGTTTTAATTAAAATGTAGTCACTAAAAGTTAATAATACATAGATTAAGCTTTAGTCATTTTCCTTTAAAAAAACATGAGTTTTGACATTTAAGTAATTGTTTTATTAAATTTTGGTCACTTACGTTATCGTTTTATCAAGTTTTGGTCACTTGGACGTTGAATGTCGTTAGTTTGATGATATGACCCATTAGTAAAATGGTTTAATTTTTTAACCTTAAATTTTATATAAAATACTAATTATGAGTCCTTTTGTAAATTCAAATTAATTTAGGACATCATTTCAATTTATCTATTTTTTAATATTTTTTCTCCCCAAGTCACAATATTACTCATCTTATCCCCACTTCTTCTTCAGATATCTCTGCTCCATTACAATAACCTTCTTGTTTCTAATTATTAGTTGTAATTATATGAAGTCAAATTAGGTGGATTCTCAATTATAAGAAACGATATAAAAAGAAGCAATGAAGACTGTAAAAAGTGTTGAGAATTCACCATTAAAACTCTGAAAAGATTTATCACCAATGTGACGCCACCGCCTTGGGCCGAGAAAATTAGAGCTTCTTCAATGGTTGTGTTATTAACGACACAGTACTAGGTTTTCATCTCTGATGTGTTGTTGATCAACCAAATCCCCGTGATACGAAAGATCACCGAGAACGTTTTGTCTCATCTGACCGTGATCAACTTCCACGACGTTTACGGAGATCAAACCGATGTTCACTTAGTACTGAAGCTTTGCTCCGACGGTGAGTTGTTCGATCAGGTCATCGTAGAAATGAGGTACTCGGAGGTCAATACGGTAGCGATGGTGTGATAGATCACACAGGTCGCAGGGGTTAATAGGGATGGGCATGGGTCGTGTTTGGGTTAGGTTTCAACCAACCCGACCTGACCCGAAAATTTTACATCATTCACCCAACCTGACCCGACCCGAAAAATGTATACCCTCCACCCGACCCATTTTTTTGAGATAAAATTCGAAACCGATCCGTCCCGACCTAAAATAATAAAAAATATTATTTTTATTCAATAAAAATAGTGATTTAATTGAAAAAATAATATATAGAGGTGTATTATTATAATTATTCCTAAATATATGGTAAAATTATATTTTTTTCCCGGGTCGGGTCAAAACCCATTGAGTTCGGGTCCTATGCTCATCCTTAGAGGTTAACGGTGATTCATAGGGATATAGAAATGGAAAATTAATTATTCTTGAGTAAAAGCAAAGATTCGACGTTCAAAACCATGAATTTTGGATTGAGTTCAGTGGATGAATTCACGGATCCAATTATCGAGTTGTTCGGATTTATTGATTATGTTTCACTGGAGGTGTTTTCTCAAGGGAAAATCGCCACGAAGAGTGATATTCTGTTATCAGTTTATTTGGATCCATTGATTTGTTTTCTTGTTCCTTGTTGAATTTGACATTTTGAAGTCTTAATCTTTGAAAGTTGAATTTTAGTTTGTATAATTGAGATTACCCAATTTCATTTTATCTCTAGATACCTACCCTTTCATTTTTCTTTGAACTTGTGGTGTTACTATCTGTTATAGGAAGATGGACATCTTTCATTGTTCTTGAAACGCAACATGAGCCATTGAAAGAAGGCAAATGGAGCAATAGAGCAGAGATGTCTGAAGAAGAAACGAGAGAAGATGAATAATATTGGGGGTTGGGAAGAAAAATACTACAAAATGGGTAAATTGAAATGTTGTCCCTAAACTAATTTGAATTTACAAAAAAACCCATAACCAATATTTGATCTAAAGTGTATGGGTTAAAATAAAAATTAAACTATTTTACCAAAAGGCCACATCATCAAACTAACGATATTCAACGTTTAAGTGACCAAAACTTAAAAAAATGATATAAGTGACTAAAACTTTATAAAACGATAACTTAAGTGACCAAAACTTATATTTTTTTGAAAGGAAAATGAACAAAATTTAATCTACATGTTATATACGTGAAAATGATATAATTTTAATTTTATATATTTATTGTACCATATAGCAAATTGTTAAAGGTTTAACGGACCTTCAGTGACCACATCTTAATTAAAACGAAACGAAAGTGACAAAATCTTATGTTTTTGAATTCAATGAGGAAAAATTTATAAAACTCAAATGAAAATGACCATTTATGTAGTTTACCCTAGATAATATTAGTGATCATAATATAATGTTTCATATTTCAAAGGTAAAAAACGAAAATTACTAAACATTAGTGACTGTTGGTGTAATTTATCTAACAATTAATTATTTCTGCAATTTACTCGATCAACTAACCAGCTGTTCCAAATTTATTCACTATATATATATATATATACACTTGACCCTTCAATTTCATTGACCCACAGGATCACCATCACTTTAGCAGCTAGCAATCTAAACTGTTAGCTATTAGATAATCATCTTTGAGAAGCTCCCATGGCTGATAATTCTGCTTGCAATCCCGAGCTCGTTCTTGCTCATAAATTCAGCGAGGTATCTGCTTTTCTTCAATGGAATTCCAAGTTCTAAACTTCATGTTTAGCCATGTATTTATTTTATCTGACTTTTATTTGCAGAAAACATTCACTTATACAGAGAGGTACTGCTTTGCTCCTCCCCAAAACTTAATTATATAGTAGTTTCTTTTCATCTGATCCGTATGACATGTTTCCTTGTACACAGAGATGTAGCTCTCTATGCTTTGGGTGTCGGAGCATGTGGTCGGGACGCCGTTGATACCGATGAACTTAAATACGTTTACCATGAAAACGGACAGCAGTTCATCAAGGTTATCTATCAATCATTTCTTTTCTGTTACGACTAATGAATAAAGATGATTTCCCCACCATAACTCTTACTTGAGAAAAGTGTGTTCTGTTTCTTTTTGTGGTCTAACCTGACTTGTTATATTAGGGGTGAATTGGAACTGTCTTTGGATTCTTAAAACTAATTTGAACTGCAAATGGGATGCCTGATCTGCCCTGAATTGAGTAAAAAAAAGAAACCCTTCTGTTATTCATCGCTTGGGAGGCAGTGGCTGGCAATGGAAACATGATTTTCCGGCTCATATGCAATGTTAAACACCCAAAAATTAATTTAAATCATCCTCGGAAAAGTAATTTTTAATCTAACCTCAAAAAGTTCAAATTTCTAACTTTTGCTCAGGAAAATCCTTTTTAAGTGAAATTATATCTTTATCCTTGAACACTATATTTTTAATTTACAATACGTCAAATCAAAAATTTATATTTTCAAAATTACTTCTTAACAATAATCATACACAGTTAAATTTTAAACAACATTTTTAAAAGTAATTTTTTTACGGCATTTAAAAGTAATATCGAACTGCTTTTAAGAAGCCATTGGCGCTTGTTTCTTGTAAGTCTACTTATAGGACATAATATAATACCTTGCCTACTTCCCGCTTCTCAGGTTTTGCCAACATTTTCTACTTTATTTTCACTTGGAGTTATGTCACAACTTAGTGATGTGCCTAGCTTATGGTAAGTCGCAGCCCATATCATGTACTTGCTCTAGTCTTTCTCAAACTTAATCATGTCAATCATTTTCTCTCTTATTGATTAAAAGATTTTAACAATTTGCTTAAACCTTCGAAATATAAACTCCTATACTTTTTTACTATTTTTTGTTCTTAACAGTTTTGATAAACGTCTTCTGTTGCATGGACAACAATACATAGAAATATACAAGCCTTTTCCTGCAAATGGCACTGTAAGTCTATAATACTGCCAACATCTATGTTGTCTATAATATGCCTGAATGTGTAAAAGTAATATTCCTGTGAAAATTGTTTTGAAATTGCTGTATAACACCAGAGGTCCAGAGTTAATTGTTGTTATTATTAACTTTTTTTGCAGATACACAACAAAGTAACTTTAGCAGGATTGCATGATAAAGGTTTGTATTCATTACCTGAGCTGAACTAATGTAAAGATCAACTTGTTCTTTTCTTTTGCTTTTATCAATATTACCGTATTTAGAAAGTGAACTACTGAAGATAATAAGCACAGAGAAATTGGTTGTTGGTTGCTTGTATAAAATGAAATAGAAAGAGAAGTGATATCTGCAAGTTTGTTCCGAAAGGATAGTCTTGATGGCCTTTCTCCTTCCCTTGAAATATTAGGTAAAGCCTCAGTGTTTGAGCTTGAAACCAGAAGTTATGAGAAAGAGTCCGGTGAACTATTAAGCATGAACCGGTAAGTTCTCTTTCTCCTCTGTCTGATCTACCAATTCCATGCTGCAGTTTCTCAATGTATAAATGATTCCTCAGGATTAGTGTTTTCCTACGGGGTGCTGGTGGCTTCTCGGATCCATCTAAGCTCTTCACATACTCAAACTATCCGGTCAACCAGACTTATATGAGAATCCCAACAACTCAGCCTTTCGCGATATTTGAGGATTGTTCCCAACCATCTCAGGCACGTATCAACAATATGACATGCATTTATATTCTCTTTTTGTATATATAATTTATAGTCTATGGACTAGTTTGATCTTACATCTTCTGCTTCAAGGGCCTGTACTGTGAGATGCATTTTTATGATGCTAGCTTCCCCAGAAGTTTGAACATATATTTTTCTTTGGTAGGCATTATTGTATAGGTTATCCGGTGACTACAATCCTCTCCATTCAGATCCCATGGTTGGGAAAGCAGCAGGGTTAGGCTCGCTACTTAACTACAATGCTGTTACCAAATGCTTATTCTTTATATTGAGGCTATGGTTGCGTTGAATGCAAAAACTTGGTATTCCTTTACTTGCGTCGAGCTCATTTGCACCCCGAAACTTCTATGTTGATTTATGCTTCTGAATTCCACGTTCATAGATTCTCAAGGCCAATTTTGCATGGATTATGCACCCTTGGGTTTGCAGCACGAGCTATCATCAAATGTATTTGCAGGGGAGATCCAGACATGATCAAAAGCATATTTGCACGATTCCTTTTACACGTGTATCCCGGTGAGGCATTGATAACTGAGATGTGGCTCGAAGACTTGAAGTAACTTTTTTCGTTCTATATCTTTTTCTGCTACTATTCAAATGAATGGATTATGGAGGCCTGATGCTGGTGCATGTGCAGGGTCGTATATCAGGTAAAGGTGAAAGAAAGGAATCGAGCAGTGTTGGCAGGCTATGTTCAACTCCATCGATTAGCAACTTCAGTGCTATAAATGAGCTTTATATGTTCAAGTACTGCTTCAAATTGCAAGCCTCATAAATCCGAAAATAAAAGTTTTAACTTTGAAACTTATTGAACATAATAGACTGATAGCATTTGAGAATGTAATGTAATAAATGCAAGCAGCTTAATTGTGTTTGTTTGGGATCTTACTATCTATTTATAGTAATTGGCGTCATCTTATTATAACTATTCTTTTTCAAATTCAAAGGGTAAAACAAATAAGAAGCAGAGTGAAAGAAAGGCAGTAGTTTCAGATTTTCAAAAGGAAAAAAGAGAGGAGAATATTGCTTCATTTTTAACAGATTTAAACTAAATAATAAATTATGTGGCATGTCATCTGTTAAGATAGAGTCAAAATCAAAATACAAGAATATGTGCTTAGAGAACAGCCACTCATTTTAGCAGAGTGAATGGTGACAGCCACTCATTTTAGCTTTGTTCCTTTGCATGTCAAAGCAGTTCTCTAACTTAATCAAAACTACTATTACGATAATAATAAGATGGTTGCAATCATTTATGGTTGGAAACTTGAATAATACGAAGGGAACATGTATCTGATTTATAGAAAGAAAGAATGCGACCTCGAGCTGAGGTCCATTAATTATGAAGTCCTAATAATACAATGCAAAGCCTAGCCACAACACAATGAGCTAAACTATATCATAAAATATATATTACGATTAGAGGCAAAACTCGTCTCCTCAATCATCTCCATCCATGGACCAAACCTCTTCATTGTGTGGTGCCTTACAGGGGTCAGCTGCTCCGGCTGACCGCCCTACCACAGAGGAGAGCATTCTTGGGGATAGGGAATTCATCCCTGAGAGATGTTGAGTCTGTGTATACACGCAAGTAAAGCTGTTGCCCAAGGTACTGTCTTGCCCAATACTCGGACCTCAAGTTCCATATCCCTACGTTGTCAAGTGCAACATATATGGCTGTCCATGATTTAGGATACACCTGCATGCATTCAACGGATATATACATATATATAAAGTATTTGGTACGGAAAGTGGGTTTTAAGGTTTATATATATAAAGGAGGGAGAAGAAGATTGTTGGTTTTGTAACCTGAGTGGTACAACGTGAAACGGCATCTCGGAGGTTGTATCCGTTCCGACTAGCTGATGTCCATTGCCCTCCGTCCATACTGCATTTCAATATGATTTTCAAACCAACATATATATCAGCACGACTGCAGGCATGCGTCTGGTTTTTTTTTTTGGGATGTTTTTGGTGAGAAAATGATATGCTTACCCAACAACAAAGAAAGAGTAACCATTGAGATGCCAGCTCTGTACGATGTCTTCATCATTCTGAAATACGATCTCAAGAAAAGCCCTATAATCAGCATTCAGAACTGAAATGTCGGTGTATATCCCTCCGCCATAAGGATTATCCGATATGCTTCCGGGTCGGAAAACTCCTCCGATTTTGAAATAGTCGGCGAGTTTCAGAGGTGTGTCTGGTTGAACAAAGGAAACACTGTTAACCGCATATCTCTGCTTCCCATTAACTTGTCCAGCGGAGTTGGCAAGCCTGATGGTCCTGGTCGTGTTAACGAGACCATAGTGGTACGAGCCCTGAGGGTTAGGCCTTGGCCCGCTTGCCGTAAGGTTAGTCCTCATAGAGCGTGCCTGGTTCAAAGACCAGTCGATTTGGATGGTGGGCCCACCAGGAGGAGGACCGGAGACGGGGCCAGCTGAATTGCTGTAACGAAGAATTCCGGTGGTGGTGAGAACCGGGTTCGTGAAGCGAGTATTGACGACAATGTAATAGTCTTGGGTAGGCTGATCGGCCGTGAATAAAACGGAGCATGATTGGCCCAAGTGAAGATCGACGGAAGAGTACGAAGTTTGCAAAGTGTGGGTTCCCTCCACTTCTACCAACGTCAACCTGTGGTTTTGGATGCGGAAATTGAGAGAATTTTGCAGTCCAACATTCGATATTCTGAGCCTGTAGGTTTTTCCTGCAAAAGCAATACAACTTCCATTATATGCTTCATTCTCTTTATGCTTCTCCAATACAATAAGAGTTTACCTTGCTCAACATTCAGAGAGGCACCGCCGGGTCCACGGCCATTGATAAGGATTCCATCTGGGAAAGGTAGCTTCCTACCACTATCCAACTGAGCTTGCAAAACCTGCACCATTCCATATTAATCCAGTAAGGAAAATGCAGATGTGAAAAGGCACAAAAGCCGTAGGCCCATAGCCCACAGCATTGAATAGTCAAATAAATCCCCACTTCCTTTGTTTGCTTCGTATATCCAACTAACCCCATTATGATGCCGACACATTTACAAATACCCCAACACACTGGGTGATCCCACCATGTTAAACTCTGGCACACCGCCACAGTTATGAACTCAACCGAAAAAAAGCAAGCAACTTTAATTCGAAAAAAGCAGGTAGAGATGGGGAAGTTTGTTATCGATTACCGTGTGATTGGACTTGTACCAGTCTCCAATAAGGACGGTGTAGTCCCCAGCAGGGTCCGGGAAGGGGACTGGGATTCGTGGTCTGCTAAGGATCCTTATCCCCCCAAAAGCACCGGCTGCCTTGTGGAATCCCAGAGATGGGTAGTAATAGAAACTCCCTATTTGATCCTTCACCTGGAGAATGTATGTGAAGTTCTTTCCCGGTGGAATAGGGCACGTTGTTCCAAATACACCATCTTCATACGAATTCCTCCTTTGTTGGATACCATTCCTATATTTAATTATAATAAAATTGTATTAAAAAATGGTTAACTTGGGCCATGGATAATTAATGGAGTCTTAAGTAGGTAAATTAACGACCATTAATTCAACTTTTTGTCCAATATTGTATTTGTCAATTAAGGACAAGTCGCTTTCTAAATACAGCTAGCAGGGAAGTACTTCTTTAGCCACATGCTTACTGTAAAAGCTGAATACGAATGGTTTCCATTATTAAAGCAAAGATCTGCCCGCAATTAGATCAAGCACATGGATGTTTTCCTAACCTTCACATTTAGCAATGCAGAAAAGCAAAACAAGAATGGCCGCTTACATCATTCACAATATTAGCAGTGAAGTGAAAAACCATAACAAAAAACAAAGGGCGCGTAAAAAAATTACCAAGAAAGGAGAAAAGACTCGTTTAAGTTGTTGAACACGTTAATGATGAGATTATCGTTGGTAACCGAGTGGATGTCAGGTCCCGGGAATTGCCCATTAATCAGAAGACCCTGGAAACATAAAAGGGTAGCATTATAACTTATGAAAATGACGACTGTATTTAACAATGAAAAGCAGTGAGATTACGAAAGGCCTCACCGTTTGACGAACGCCGAGAGGATAAATATCACCGTAAGTAATGTTCCAGCTGTAGAATCTGTACGGATCTTCGGCCCTGGTGATGGCGAAAAGAGAAGCGGCGGCACAAAACAACGCTACGGCCAAGCGAAGCCGCATATTTGGAAGCAATGAAAAGGAAAACAAGAGACAAAAGAAGGCGGGAGCAGTTGGTAGAAGCAGTGAATTAGGACTTGGGAGATGGCACGGTATTTAATAGAGGTAGTATTAATGTGTTGGAAGATAAAGGCAAAAAGAAGGAAGAGAGAGGAAATTGAAACGAAAGTGTCGGTCGTGGGGTCCTTTGTATTTGCTCACTGTTCGAACTGTGAACTGTGAATTGTCGTTCTTCTTCTTCACAATGGCAATGGTTCTTACGAGGTGTACGGTTAGTATGCGTGTTTTGCAGACTTTGTATATCATGGCTCGAGCATTTAGGGATATATGGATGAGTTTTTTTCTTACAGAGTAATGTTTTTTTTTCATAAAGCAATTATCTTTAGTAATAAGAACACGAAATAATTATCTGATATTGATAAAACCTTTTTCAAGTAAAGCTAAAATCAGGGAGGAGGAAGAAGAGTTCAATTTAATCAACGGTCCTTTTGGTTGTCGATTACATCCATCATTCATGGATAATAAGAATATTAATAAAAGAAAATGATGTCTCATAGGAGTATTTATCTTTTGATATCCCACTTTTTGTCATAGATAATAATTATATGATCACTTACCTACTGATTTTTATAGAAAATTTTATTTTTTTAATTTAATTTAATTTAAAAAGTTTTTATGATAAAATTTTATAATATATAATTTAAATTAATTAATAAATTAAAAATTAATATTTACCTCAAATTAGCATATCTTTTTGTCAGACTTCAGATTTTCTCAAATGTTTTTTACCTTCTTTCCCCGGGTCGTTCTGCGGTGCGGCGCCTAAAAAACGGCTAATATACGGCGTGACCGGTTAAACAAGTGACCGGTTAAAATTTAGACCGGTTATGTTATATTATTTAACCGGAAATATTATAAAGTACAATAACATACTAGGTAGCGCTTATATAATGTAATAGGTAGCGCTTATATTTACCTATTTTATAAGTAAACCGGTATATTTATACCGATAGCATTGCAAATTTACCTATTACATTATATTATATTGAAAGTGTCCATACTTTTTATAAAAAGAATCGATACTTTAACAGTGTTTCATGTTTTCCACCTACAATATTGATTTAATAATTTCATTTGCACAAAAAATTATTTGATTGTTTTGATATTTTATAAAATATTATTTAGAATTTTTAATTTAATAATAATATATACCGTAACGTAAAAAATAAATCATTAGACGCCTATAATTACTAAATTAATATCTTAAAACTCACTCAAAAGATAACCTTAAATTAATGTTTTCCACAGTGAAAAAAGTATGGACACTTTTATAAAAAGGATAGACACTTTACAATATAACCACTACCTATTGCTTGGCATCATATGAGATTTGGATTTTGATTTCCTTTTGCTTGGCACCATATGAGCTTTGGATTTTGATGAGCATCGGAAGTATTTCAGACTTATGATTTGGGTGGTACTCAACTTATGATTTTAGTTGCTATTTGTTACATTTCTTGTATACCACCCAGATCATACGCCCGAAACGTTTCTGACGCTTTAAAGTTGACCAAAAAATAAAATGGTCGGGATTTCCCTCGCGTTTATACGTTGGAAAAAAAACAATGGAAATTAGGAATAATCAATGATAACATGCATATTGGCTTGGGCTAATATTTATAGTGGAGCCGAAATATATATTGAAATTCAAACTCAAATTGAAATTTAAATTCAAACTCCAATTACATATGAAATGAATTTGAAATGCAGTGTTAAATTGAACATGAAAATTGCATAATTGATTCATACTGTTCAAGTAACATGCTTTATGAACCATCAAGCTAAAAGACAATATTGATTGAGTTCAAAGCTGAGTTGTGAGTTGATGGAGTTGTCACACTTGTCACATGGTTGGAATAAAGTACTCACATGCGAGATAGATACCTATTACATTATATAAACGATACCTATTACATTATATAAGGGCTACCTATTACATCATATGTTTACCTATTATATTGAAAGTGTCCATACTTTTTATAAAAAGGATCGATACTTTTTTTAAAACTTATGTAATTTATGTTTCAATTTTTTTAACAGTGTTTCATGTTTTCCACCTACAATATTGATTTAATAATTTCATTTGCACAAAAAATTATTTGATTGTTTTTATATTTTATAAAATATTATTTAGAATTTTTAATTTAATAATAATATATACCGTAACGTAAAAAATAAATCATTAGACGCCTATAATTACTAAATTAATATCTTAAAACTCACTCAAAAGATAACCTTAAATTAATGTTTTCCACAGTGAAAAAAGTATGGACACTTTTATAAAAAGGATAGACACTTTACAATATAACCACTACCTATTACATTATATAAACGATACCTATTACATTATATAAGGGCTACCTATTACATCATATGTTTACCTATTTTATTGAAAGTGTCCATACTTTTTATAAAAAGGATCGATACTTTTTTTAAAACTTATGTAATTTATGTTTCAATTTTTTTAACAGTGTTTCATGTTTTCCACCTACAATATTGATTTAATAATTTCATTTGCACAAAAAATTATTTGATTGTTTTTATATTTTATAAAATATTATTTAGAATTTTTAATTTAATAATAATATATACCGTAACGTAAAAAATAAATCATTAGACGCCTATAATTACTAAATTAATATCTTAAAACTCACTCAAAAGATAACCTTAAATTAATGTTTTCCACAGTGAAAAAAGTATGGACACTTTTATAAAAAGGATAGACACTTTACAATATAACCACTACCTATTACATTATATAAATGATACCTATTACATTATATAAGGGCTACCTATTACATCATATGTTTACCTATTTTATTGAAAGTGTCCATACTTTTTATAAAAAGGATCGATACTTTTTTTAAAACTTATGTAATTTATGTTTCAATTTTTTTAACAGTGTTTCATGTTTTCCACCTACAATATTGATTTAATAATTTCATTTGCACAAAAAATTATTTGATTGTTTTTATATTTTATAAAATATTATTTAGAATTTTTAATTTAATAATAATATATACCGTAACGTAAAAAATAAATCATTAGACGCCTATAATTACTAAATTAATATCTTAAAACTCACTCAAAAGATAACCTTAAATTAATGTTTTCCACAGTGAAAAAAGTATGGACACTTTTATAAAAAGGATAGACACTTTACAATATAACCACTACCTATTACATTATATAAACGATACCTATTACATTATATAAGGGCTACCTATTACATCATATGTTTACCTATTTTATTGAAAGTGTCCATACTTTTTATAAAAAGGATCGATACTTTTTTTAAAACTTATGTAATTTATGTTTCAATTTTTTTAACAGTGTACTGCGAATTTAAAATGATAATATACTTGTAGTTATTGTACATACCTAAATATGTACTGCGAATTTAATGTTGTACCCACCCTTTAACTACAGAAACATGTTCAAAATGAACCTTCGTTTACATATCCATCAACTCCTGGAGCACTGAACTTGCACAACGGTGAGGGGCATAACAAACTAACATGTCCTCAAGTCAAGCTTAGTTTGAGTACAAGCACACAGCCTACATCAACTGATTTTTTCGAAGACGGAATGGAATGACAACGATCTCCATATAATATATCGTAAGTATCAACATCACTCCTATTGTATGTACATATAAATATTTTGAATGAAGGAAGAAAAACCGCGTTACTTCAAATTACCGACACTTTTTTAAATGGTATGGACATAAAGTACCGACACAATATTATAAAGTGTCGATATAGGTTGTAGACCTATTCGCTCATAAAACTGGTATATTTATACCGGTTATATTACAAAATTATCTATTACATTATAATTATGGGTTCCGATGTATAAAATGTCGACACTTTTTTAAATCGTATCGACACATTTTTCTTCCAATATGGACATAAAGTACCGACACAATATTAAAAAGTGTCGATATAGGTTGTAGACCTATTCGCGCATAAGACCGGTATATTTATACCGGTTATATTACAAAATTATCTATTACATTATAATTATGGGTTCCAATGTGTAAAATGTCGACACTTTTTTAAATTGTATCGACACATTTTTCTTCCAATATGGACATAAAGTACCGACACAATATTAAAAAGTGTCGATATAGGTTGTAGACCTATTCGCGCATAAGACCGGTATATTTATACCGGTTATATTACAAAATTATCTATTTTATTATAATATGTTGAAAGTGTCCATACTTTTTATAAAAAGGATCGATACTTTTTTTAAAGATATGTAATTTATGTTTCAATATTTTTTAAGTATGTTTCATGTTTTCCACCTACAATATTAATTTAATAATTTCATTTGCACAAAAAATTAGTTGATTGTGTTGATATTTTATAAAATAATATTAAGAATTTTTAATTTAACAATAATATATACCCTTCAAGCCTTCATCGCAAATGAGCTTCATATATTCCTTGTTCGTTGACGTATCACCCGTTGGACAAAGAAATATACCGACAAGGTACAATAGAACTCGGGCCTTCAGCTCATCCCCCAAGTAATATCCACTTTTGATATCCTCTTCAACTTCAGTATATGTCACCTTATGATTCAAATCATATTTGGAGGCAAGTGCTTTCCAGTTCTTACTCCTACAGACTTCTATAACACTTTTGCCTTTGTTTTGTACCCCCAATACGTCTGCAGCAGTCGATACCCCCAGAGGGAATGAATAATCACCATACTTAGCCATACATTGACTGACGTCAAATTGTGCCATCAAGGATCGACACAATTCCCTCCGAATAGGTCGATCCCTTACTCCGATCAACGATCCAAAACCTATTTCTCCCAGCACATTCAACTGACCCTTCTCCTTAAGGTGTTTAATTAATAAATTCACCCTTTTAATGCTGCATCTTGTCGACACTTCCTACATTTTTTAACAATATATAATGTTATAGTTCTTATATATTTTGTATCAACGTATTTACAAGTTTAATGAATACCTTATTTTCATGTGCTTTCCTCCGTTCTTTGTATTCTT